TTATTTTACAGTTAAAATACATGTTTATCAAATAAAGTCTAAAGTTACAACTAATCAGGGATCCCTTTAAGATGACTCAAAGAATTTTTTTTGTCTGGATTTGTTTTCTGCAGTTGCTTTTGAGTGTTACTGTTTATTGCTTTTGGGCTTCTTTCTTTTAGTTATTTTGTTTTATTCTTTGATATTTTTGATGTTCTGTCACTTTGTCCCTGGCTTCRTCTTTGCCATTTACCTTTTTTTCCCCTCTATCTCAGCTCTGTTTTCCTCATTCCTGCCTCATCTCACACCTGCTCCTTATTTCTAATTAGTACCAGCTGCAGCCCGTTTTCCTCATCAGTCCTAGACCATTTACACTCTGGTTTAGCACTCATTCAAGTCATGTCAGCTGTTCCCCTCCTTGGATTTTTTGCAGCCACATCTAAAGCTGTTCTTCTTCTACATTCTTGACATAACATCATCAGAAATTCCCCACCATATGGAATGCATAAATGTTCAACACTCCACTTCATTACTGAACTTTTATTGCYTTTTTACATTTTTCCCTGTGCAACCCTGAGGTCAAGCGTCGACTTTACGCAGTGTTAAGTGTCACAAGCCAAAATATTTGGCAAAACGTTCCTGAACCTCTGGGGAATGTTATCACTAACTTCCCTTTTGGGCACTTGACAAAGTTCAGTTTGTATACAGAGGAGGAAGAGGGAAGATACTGAAGCGAATGTTCTTTTCCATTATTGTGGGTGTGTTTGACCTTTTGGACAAGCGGAGCTGAGTGAGTTAGGAGGGGGAGGGRGGCGGGGAACCTGCAGCGGAGAAGAGGGAAATTGGCTGTGATGAGAAAAGAGACTCATGAGAGCAGAAGTAGAAGGATGATAGAAGAGGAAGCGATAACACTACAGGACTAATCTGGAAAGAAAAAAAGTGTTGAGTGTGCAGACAAAGTTACAACCCCAGCAAACAGAAAGCTGGACTCGGACAGAATATTTATATAGTTGTTAATATCGAACACAAATTACAGTGTGTAATACGAACGTTCTAAAGCTTTTTGCTCCTATTTAAAGGAAAAAAACAATGTGAAATAAAAAATATACACAAATCTGAGTGTGTTGGTGCGTGGCTAATGCTTTCACCTTCACCTCAATAGAAAGATGCTGCCTCATGGAGCTCACCTCAGAGTTTGTTCCCCAGTTACAGATGTATGTGTGTGAGTGTGTGTAGTCCATCCTGCACACGTAAGCTTTCCTGTCATAGTAACTTCTCTTAACAGCACTCCAATTTCACTTCTGTCTTTTGCCCTTACTCCACCCCACCCCGTGTTCCTCTGTTTTCTGACTCCTTGCATGTTTCCACTGTGAGCTTTTGATTAATTTGACGTTTGACTGGCGTCGCCTCGGCGGCTGCCACAACCGGTGCGTGCGAGCATCCGTCTCACCACTCCAGCTCGTGCTGCGTCTCGTACTCCCTCTCCTCGGCGGCCCCCAGCTGCTCGTACGCCTGAAGGAGCTGTCGCCTGAGTTTGCCGACCTCGCCCTCGGTCTCCTTGGAGCTGCGCTGCTCCTCGGCGCCGTCTACTTCGGCTCGAAGCTTCTCCAGCTCGGCCCGGCGCCTCTTCGCTTCTCCCAAAAGCCGGATCTGAGAATTCTGGGCACTGTTAGGTGACACAATGACATAAGTGTGTAGTTGTTTTTTTTTTGACACAGATCCTAACTCATCTTCCTCGAAGTTGTGAGCACATTTTCAAGAAATCAAGACTTTCTGGGCCAATTTATAGCTCCAAATATTAAAAAGACTAAATAAGTCCAACATTTTCTGGACAAGAGCCTATTAATTATCTAGTCCTTATGAAATGCTTGAGTCACAAATGTATTTTGTGTAATAAAAATATTCATACTAAGCTAAGCTAAACCATACCTGTAGGAACAAGTTTGATAAACTTCTAATTCTATGGCAAATCAAAGCACTGAAATTCTGTTTTTGTGTGTTTAGAAGCACAAATARTGGTTAGAATGACAGAGTTCTATGGGTAAAATATTAATACGAGGTGCATTTTTGTTGTTAATTAGGTTTTTGACAGGTTTAAAATAGATCTCATTATAAACTGCAGAATCTACAACCATCCCCCCCCCCCCCCCCCCCCAAATTATATGATCTCTAATGTTCACAAACTTGTTGGCATAAATGAAACGTACCACTTCAAGTTGTCATAAAGTCGCTCGTAGCTGGATTTCAGTTCGGCTGCTGTAGTCTGGCTAATTTGGTTTGACAACAACATCTGAAAAACAAACAAACAAACAAACAAAAAACAGAAAAACTAAATATATACACAAAAGGACATAAAAATGTTGTAATTTCCAACGTCCAAAAACTCTTTAGTCTTGAATCTTTAGCTCGAACCCGAGTGGGACATTGTCTGAAATTTTTCGATTTGACTAATATCTTAAACTGACATTTTCTTCTTTGATTCAATACTCAGTAAGGTAAAACTTTAAGTAAAMAAGTACATAAAACTAATAGTCAGAAGTATAAATTTATTTTGGTGAGGGTATTTAAGAAATAACTATAGAATAACTTTAAGATTTTCAAACAAGATAAGCTTTTTTTAGAGCAACATGTTTATTTTTTAAGATAGGATAGGATAAGATAGGAC